GGGTCCAACCCGTTACTAGCATGGGGTACCTAATAAAGTGACCGGTGAGTGTATATATAAGGGCTGCATAAAGTAGCACTGGTTAGCGATCCTGCCCTGTAGCAACCAATTCTGGATTTGTTTTCAAGTTTGTTTAACAAGTTTTAACTGAGATTGAAGACCTGATAACTAATTGCTTTATTTGAAACATCTTTTAACTTAATGTTTTTATGATAATTCACCAAATAATTCATTTATTTGCTTGGTGTCAAATCTATTCTCAATAATGACTTGCCTCCACCTTCCACCTGAATTCTGCTTCCATGCAACTTTTATTAATAATACTGGTTACAGATATTCAGTATTAGATTTTGATGTTATAAACATTAGTATTAAAACTCACCTTCTTCGAGCTTCTTTCGGGCCTCCTCTTCTCTCTTGGCTACTTTGGCCTTTAGAACCTCATCTGTCTTAGCTGAAAAGACAAATGCCAGAAAAACAGTGTTAATGGCAAAGAAAATTATTTAAAATAAAACTCTTATGTTTGCAAACAAACATTAATTATCATCAGCACTACTACAAAATCTAACATCATTAAACTGGATAACTTTGACAGTGATAAAAACTGCACACAGTTCTCTAGCCTGGTGATTCAAAGCCCTGTTCCACTAGGGCTGCAACAAACGATTATTTTGATAATCGCGTAATCTGTCGATTATTTTCTCGATAAATAAATGGAAAGCCGAAGGTTCCTTAAAGGAGATTTTATACAGAATTAAACAAGGTAAAACTAAAACTTTTCCATTTGAAGAGTTGTGGATACATCATATTGACAGAGAAAAGGGTTTTTCTTTTATCTTAAATGCAAAATATTTATATATTTTTTCACTATCTTGGTGTATTTACTGGTATAAATGCATTGCTCTGTCAGCTAAAGGCATGTTTTAGAGTCTCTATATTTCAGTTAATGATTAAACGACTACTGAATCACTTGACGACTATTTCAATAATCATGATTATCCGATTAATTTCCACTGTAGCTAACGTTGCATGCACACATCGGCTCAACAGTAAATTGAGTAAAAAATAAAGTAAAAAACTCCCAAATGTTTAGATTTTTTTTTCTTTTTGGTATATAGTGTGGAAGTTGTTCTTGATCCCTCATCTATGTATCTTGATCAGCTGCAGGATGTAGCAGCTGGTCTTTACAGTAAAACAAGCTGTGCTGTCTGACTT